TTCGGGAAAGACTTGCCATCCTGGAAAACAGCATGAATTCAGCCAGTCAGGCGGGTTATTCTCCTTTGCAAAGCCGGCAGCAGCCGACTGCTTTAAAACAGGATCTCGACCGGTTAGAAAAGATGATGCAATCCATGTCCGCATCTGCGGCAGAAGATCCTGAGATGCGCCAGCTGGATGGCATGCTGGAAAAGATCATCGATATACAACAGCCGGACAGGGCAAAGCTAAAATTGCATGAACGCTCCAGGGCCAATAAAGGACGTGTGTACGCCGTAGACAAGCCTGATGCAACCAATCCCATATCCATTCTGGAAAGAAATGATCTCAGGTCTATACCTGAGAAAAAGTTCTCCTCGCATCAATCGAATACAGCCGTTGAAAATCGCTTTTATGATTTGACAAATGATCAGCCGGACGATTTTGCGGAGACAGCTATTCCGGCTGTGGTTCATCAAACCCAGACCCTGGTTTCCGGCGGCACCATAAAAATGAGATTGACCGAAGATATTTATATCAATGGCACACTCATCCCAAGCGGTCATTTTCTTTTTGGCAGCGTAACCATAGCCGGGGAAAGATTAAAAGTCGAAATTAATAGCATCCGGCATAACAATCAGGTCTTTCCCGTATCCCTGATGGTGCATGATCTGGATGCATTGGAAGGAATTCGCATTCCGGGGGCCATTACCAGGGATGCCGCAAAGGATGGTTCTGACAGGGCTTTGCAAAATATCCAGTTTATGTCTCTTGATCCATCTCTTGCCACTCAGGCAGCTGGCACAGGTGTGGAGATTGCCAAAGGCTTATTCAGTAAAAAGGCAAAGCTGATCCGGGCAACTGTAAAACAAGGTCATCCGATACTGCTTGTTGATACCAAAAAGCAATAATTCATTTAATCAATAACCACTTTAAACAAGACAATTATGAGAAGCTTACTATTTATATGGACACTATTATGCAGCCCGGGCCTGCAGGCGCAGAAGGCTGTAAACATTAATGCTGAAGCTATGGTTCCAGCCATTAGCCTGGAAATAAGCTGGCATAAAACAACCCTTCTGATTTTCCCCGAGGTTGTTCGGAAAGCGTACCTCGGTGATAAATATATTCTGGCTGACCAGGTGAAGGGTGTAGAAAATATACTGATGGTCAAAGCCGGCCAGAAAGGATTTGAACCCAGCAATCTCAATGTTGTAACTGCCGACGGTAAGGTCTATGTTTTTAATATCTCTTATTCCGAACAGGCACCTTCCTTACCGGTTTATATAGGTCGTTTGTCCTCTGGTAAACCGGCTATCTTTTCCGGTATTACACTGAATGAGCAGGAGGTAAAGTCTTATGCTGAGGTCATAAGTAAGGATAAACAATTTACCAGGGGACCAGTAGATAGTCGTTATGGGATGTTGTTCCGAATGGAGGGGA